ATAGTATGGGCAGGACATTGCTGACCTGAAATCTGGTGTTGGAGTTAAGATGTCTGAGACCCACAGTGGGTAGCATGGAGCTAAATGAAGTTGGAATAGAGCTAGCAGCAGCTGTGCTTCTCTTCCCTTGCCTCAGGTTCTGCTGCTCATTCCTGTATCACACCAAGAGGCATTTGGCTCAACCTGTTGCTTAGTATGGATTTTCTGATAAGAACTGCTATCTTGGGTCAAACCAGTGGTCCATGTAGCCCAGTATCCTGTCCTGACAGTGGCCAGAACCAGAACTGCAGGGGAGTTAACAGAACAGGACAGTTTTGGAGAACTCCATTTATGTCTTTCCCTCCTGTCTTCTGGCATTTAGAGGTTTAGGTCTCTGGCATTCAGAGCATGGAGTTGCATCCCTGGTCATCTTAGCTAATAGTCGTTGATGTACATGTCCTCCATGAACTTTTTTTTTTAACCCAGTTACATTTTTGGCTATTACAACATCCTGTTGCAATGAGTTCCATGCGTAAATTCTCCAGATTTTACCACCAAATACCACTCTCTTAGCAATACCTATCCCTGTCTAATACAACCTAAAACAATACTTCCCCAATGTTTAGCACTTGCTCATCAGTTTTGTGAATAAGACAGCCACCAGATCCCTACCTTCCTCTTCTTTTCTGTTTCTTACTCTCTCATGAAATCCAAATGGCTTCCAAAGACAGCTTCTGCAGCCCAGCCAATCTTAAACTACAGCTGGGCCATTCTCTCAGCTGCCTCTTCTGCTGCTGGAGTGGATACTTTTTTTTTAATTATTTTTTTTTTTTACATTTTGTCCGGAGGAAATATAAAATATTTTATTTTTATACTTTTCCATTTTGAAAAAAATTATTTAATTTGATGAATCCCACAAGAGTGTGAGGTATAGCTGTACCCTGAATTTCACTCATGTCTTTATCCTGAAGGCTGCTGTGTGAGGGCACATACCCCTGAATGCAACCCTGTTGAAACCATTGAGGCTCCACATGGTCAAAAGGAATCCTTTTGTGTGGAACAGTTTACAGGTTTGGGCCCTTAATGTCAAACACTGAGACACTATCTTTATGATGGTTAAATGACTTACAATTTTCGAATGTGAAGTAATTCCATGCAGAACCACAAATCCTTCATGTTAAGTTAGCTATGAACCCCTTGGTCTCACGCCGAGTTTCTTTCAAGAACTTCTTTTCAGTTGCTGGTGATTAGTTCCTCATCTTTTTCTTGAATTAGTTATGACCATCTCTTATTTCCACAAATGAAACATGAAAGAAATGTGCAGTTATTGATTTTTAACCTCCTGTGCATTCATTCATCATCAGCAATAAAAACCCTGCTGATGGAGGAGGGGGCAAAAGGGGCAGCCCTGGGGAGTGGTGACTGCTGCAGTAGCCAGAGCCATGGGTCCTTTAAATCAGTGTTTCTTAACCAGTGGTAAGAGTACCCTTAGGGATACTTGAGAGAAGTCTGGGGGGTACGCCAACACAACTGAAATTTGGAGAAAACTGCATTTTTGTTAAGTTTTACAGCATTTTATTATTTTTGTACTTTTTACACTCCCAAAATTTCATTGCCCGCTTGGCTACAATTAAGTTATTTAAACAAATGTGTTGCAACGGTAAAAAAAAATGTTGTGTGTCTGAAAACTGTAGGTACTGGGGGTACTTCTTAAAAAAAATAAGGGGTACTTTATTTAAAAAAAAACAAAAAAAAAAAAAGGTTGAGAAACACTGCTTTAAATCACTGCTGGACCCCCAAGCAGAACAGTTTGGGCAACTCTGAGGGCTAGGGGGGAGTGGTGTGGGATGTGTGATGCTGAGTTTTGCTGCTTTGTCTAAGGCCCTGACACTTCCTGAAGCATAGAGGCCCCCTCACACACACCTTGCCCAGGGGCCTGACAAGTCTGTTGGCTCCCCTGAACTTTTCTCTTTAGTTTCAGTAGAGAGAAGATAGTTTTCCTTTTGATTTCAATTCCTCATAGAAGAGTCCTAAAAACAACAGGAAATAACATAGATCTTGGGAAAATTCTGCGTCTTTCAGACCATTAAAAAAGGGGATAAAGATAAGCTTGTTACATATAGTTATAGGTTTCCTCTCCAGTTAAACATGAAATAACTCCAAAATGTATATATTAGTTATTAGCTCTTTGTGCGTTCCTTATAATACAAGACAAAGCAGCCTTATTGTCTCCTCAGATTTAAAACAAATCCCTGTGAATTTTGCATGTTCTAAGATTAAATGGACCTGCCCATATGAAATTTTAACTTGCAGAATTTCTGTATCCCGTATACATTTTGACATCGGTTTTGCAAGGCTGGCAGTGTATGAAATAAAGGCATTTCATTCATTTGTGAAGTGCCAAAAGAAAAGTTTGCTTTGCCTCTACTTCTCTCCGTAAATCTTTCCCTGAAGTGGGACAATGAACTGATAACTTCCTGTTGTATATTGTCATTTTAGGGTCTCTTTCTGACTTGTATAGATTATGGCTTCCGGATTTAGGAAGTGTTCCTCCTCTTTTTTTAAAGGTTTTTTGATTAGAGGAATCTTGTCATTTCATTTTCTCAGTTCCTCCTGTTAATTTCCTGTTAGAGAGAGCACTGGAGGAGGACAGTGCACTTCACAGAAGCAGCATAACTCGTTTTTTCATTCTCTTTTTTTTTGGTGTTAAGGTGATTCAGGACCTGCATCATGTGGGATGCACTCACCTCTTCAGAGGCTAAGAGCCTATCATAAAGGCTGTCACCAGGAACCTAAAATCCAATTCAGATCTTTGAGTTAAAACTCACCAAGCATCAGACTGTCTGCATTTTGATTTGTAGACTTGAATTAAGGCATGAAAGTCAAATCATTTGGGTTCTGTTCCCATGCCTTTTTGTTTTGGACAAATTACCTAACCGCTCAGTGTCTGATACTCCCTCAATCTAAAGCAAATAATAGTATTTTGAGTGATCTGTACACATGGATTCCTCTCATGGTATTCATGTATGTGAGATTGGATTTTTCTGGCAAGCTGTATCCATTGTAGTCACTTCTGTTCCCTACATGTCCTGTTCCCTTTAATGTCAGGTCAGATGGCCCAATAGCCAAAGTCAGTAAATTGAACTTAAAGTCTGGCCCTTTAATACTGGGCTGATCGGCCCACCAGCCCAAGTCAGGGAATTAAAGCCACCCAAGGTCATAAAAAGCAGAGGAGCCTCAACCAGCATTCAGTTCCCTCTTATTGCCAGTATGCAGGTTTTCTGCAATACTATTACAGTGTTAATGATTAGTTAGTATAGTTTCTAATTACTTTTCATTTGCCCATTGGCTTTACAAAAATCATTTGTAATGCTACTTTGTAGACAGTAGGCCCTGAGCACTCCTCTCAGTACTGTGACTTGACTGTGAGTTGATATGGGAGAAATGAAATCTCTGATTTGACATGCTCCTCTTGTGATGGGCATATCTCTGACTGTTGATTCCCAAGCAGGCACCGAAGGCAAGGGATGCCTACCTAATGTTATCTTCTAGTACTCTATGAAATCCTCCTCAGAAGGAGGATGTAGTAACAGTTCACTCCTCCGTCTGTTCCTGTTCAGCAAGTGTCCCAACAAACTGGTATTGCTTCTCAGGCACCAGGGATAAGATGTCTAAGTGCAGTTCTTGAGTGAGATGCCCTTGTTGACTTCAAGAAGGGCTACAAAGGTACCATGCTGCAGAGACAAGACATGGATCTCCTTCAGGGGACCATTGGAACAGAGTTTCAATAAACAATGTATTTATTACATTGTCTCAAGCCCTTCATTGAAAGGGTACCAAGTTGCTGCCTCTGCAACCTCATTACCAGGTATGAAAAAAAAATGCTTGTAATACTATCTAAATCTACTGCCAGCCTTCAGCACCAATTATTGGTAATCTTGGGATGCAGTTCCCACATGACTAGCCTTTTTGGTGCCTATGGCCTATTCTTCACAAAGTAACGTGTGTGAGCCAGTACTGGAATCTTCCTTATTGAAACATACAATCTCAAAATGCTAACTCAGCTTTTAATTACTGAAATTATGAAATTGCATTGAGCTGTTGAGACTCTGCCATCTACTTTTCCTACTTGGTGTGGGACCCTTCTATCTCATAGGCTCTAGAACCTGAGACCTAGCACAAGCCCTAACTTCCACATTGCCCTTTAGCCTGACTCCCATGGGTCAGCTATGTGTTTTTTTTATTGCATTGTAGACTTAAATAGGAGACCCAATGTGTTCAGCAGAGAAGTCTACTCCTCATCCATCTCCAGATGTACATTGTCAATTACTAAGTGTTTCTAGTAAAATTACTATACTGTGACACATTATCTTAGTTTATAGAAAGATTATTGGAAAAATTAAGATCCATTGTCCTAGAGGGGAATCGGATAGCTAACAAGGAAATCCCAGCTACTTTTGAATGTATCTGATATATCCATATACAGAATGATCAAATCACCAATGCAAAGAGCTTCCTGGCTTTAGTCCAAACCATGATA